AAAAAGAAAAAAAAAAGAAAGTAATAAGGCTCATCTCTATAGAATATGCCGAGCACGTAAGGGTTGTTTATCACGGAAAACGTTTGTCGGATTGTCTTCGGCTTCGAATTGTTTCGAAGGAAAATAGGGGAGAGATGTTGGAATCGTTATGTGTCGGTTCTCTCGCGAAGTATACAATCCATCCCCTTCTACCACCAATACTCTCTATCTCTATCTCTATCTCTATCTCTATCTCTATCTCTATCTCTATCTCTATCTCTATCTCTATCCCTATCTCTATATCTCTATATCTCCTCCTCTATATATTTCTCTTTCTCTTTCTCTTTCTCTTTGGCCCGAGTCGAAGTTCCAGCTTGATTATGCGCAATGCGTATTCTCAAACACAAACCCGCGACACTCGTAAACGCAGCTGGAATTTGGAGCTTCCTCGAGCGCTCAGATAACCAAATTAATTAAGTCTCCTGCAAATGAGGAGATACCCGCCTAACGAAGGTGAATTAACGCTAATTCGCGTTCGTGTACCTGCCTGCCTCCCTTCCCTCCCACTCTGTTTCCCTGCCTGCCACTGCTTTCCTCTGCCTGGCAGACTTCCTGCGTGCGGCCAAACACGTTCGGTTTCATTTCTCTCTGTCTCTCTGTCTCTCTGTCTCTCTGTCTCTCTCTCTCTCTCTCTCTCTCTCTCTCTTTCTTCTGAGCTTTCTATTCCCTCTCTTCATAAGAAAGAAGAGTAGAGGAAACTATAAGCATGTACGATTATCTGTTTATAATATACATATGTACTTATATTTGTATATATATATATGTGTGTGTGTGTGTGTGTGTGTATATAACATTTCAAATTTTTATTTTTTACTGATAATATATATGTTGGTAAAGTTTTACGGAAAAAAAAACTGGGACATCCTGTATATATGTGTATATATATATATATGTATGTACATATATATGTGTGTATATATCTTTTTTTGGACCTCATGTTTTTATTAATATTACGAGAAAATTTGCGAAGAAACGAAACAAAGCAAGCCGGGAAATGTTATTTCACGTCGCTTTCCTTTTTCTTTTTTTTCTTCCTTTTTTTTATACTTTTTTCTTCTTTACTAACTTGTACTCGCAAGTACTCGGAAAACAAGCTTGCAAGCTTGCCGCATGATAAAGAAAATTAGAGATGGAGCGAAAGATGAAAAAAGAAACGAGTTTCTTTTCCTTTTTTCTTTTTTTTTTTTTTTTTCTTTTTTTTTTGTTGTTTTCATCTATCCAAGAATAATTTGTTCTACTTGTCACTTTTTACATTTCATCACGACTTTGATTAGAACGCGAGGGTCTAAAAATAATATACATATATATTCATTATTGGATAAAGCGTATGAAATTTTTCTAACAATTTTGTTTAACATCTTTTTACTTTTATTTTATTTTATTTCTATTTTCTTTTTTTTTTTGTTTTTTCTTTTTTTTTTTTTCATACCAGACTTCATCACCACGCAGCGTTTACTTATTTATGTATTTAAATAAAACATTCAATTGAATTGAATTGGATTGAAAGAATAGAATTGAAATAAAATTAAATCAATAAAAGAAAAGGAAAAAGGAAAAATAACTCGACGACGCGAAGAAATTTCCAATATGAGATATTCGAAAATAGTTTTAAATATGGATCGTACGAAAATAAGTGTATAAAAAGAAAAAAAGATAGATAGATAGATAGATAGATAGATAGATAGATAGATAGATAGATAGATAGATAGAGAAATAGAAAGAAAGAAAGAAATAAAGAGAAAAAGAGAAAAAGAAAGCACGAAGCTTTTTAACTTGGTATATCGAAGTTTACGTGGTAAAATATGCGTCGATATATCCTGATTGGAATCTCTAGCTCTTTCTCCCACGGAAATTTCGCCACAGAGAATCGCACCTTTTCCCTTCTGTGTTTCGTTTTACCAACCTAAACTACCCCCTTTTCCCTCCCCCCGCCTACCCCATCCCTAACCCCCTATCTTACTTCGCGTAAATTTATTTTTCTCCTTGCCGATTTAGACGCTACGATCCTATTTTCCCTTCGATTTTACGAAAAAGCAATTTTCGAGAAAGCTTGTTTTCCTTCATTATTCTTTATAAAATATATATATATATATATATATATATATATATATATATATATATTATAATATTTCGAAACTATTTACAGAGCATCTAAACTCAACAAATATTTTTGATTATTTTGAAAAGAAACAATTTACAAGAATGTTATCCTTTAATATTTTTTACGAACAAGGTAAATCAATAAATAAATAAATAAATAAATAAACAAACAAACAAACAAACAAATAAATATATATACACACACGTACATCGTATTTCTCTTTATCATAATATCGAAATCAATTATGGAGCATTATTAAAGTGACGATTTTTCTAATTCAAGATAGAAAAACAATATGTAAGAAGGATGATTTCGAATTTTTTTCTCTTCTTTTATTTTTCTTCTCTTCCATTTTTTTTTTTGTTTCTTTTTACTTTTTCTTAAAACTCCTTCACTAAACTGTTACGAATCCTTCTTTTATGCACCGGAAAAATAATCGTTCGTCGAGAATAATCCATGGGCCATGCACGAAGAAAATCCGATCGAGCAACGTAGCGTCACGAACGCTGCGTGATAGCGCAAAGAAATGACGGGAAGATTGACTCTAGGCAGATTAGGAGGATCCTGATGGATCTACCCGTCCGCGAACGCCGTGAATTTCATACCAGGAAGGAAGAGAAACTATACAGAGGGTGAGTGAGTGAGAAAGAAAAAGAAAGTTAGAGAAAGAGAGATAGAGATAGAGAAAGAGAGAAAGAAAGAGAGAGAGAGAGAGAGAGAGAGAGAGATAAAGAGAGCGAAGCGATTGAAACGAGAACAGAAAACGTTAGTTCGCGAGCTTTCACGTTGGTATAAATCATGGAAAAGTGGAATACCAAGAAATAAATCACGTCTAGACGATTCAAGAATAAAATAAACAAGGATGCGTTTCCCCTTACCTACCCCTATAACATCTACCTCTCTGCCACCTCCTCCAACCCCCAGACACACCAACCCCATCCTGCATTTCCAGTTCCTCTATCACGCATTCACGATATCGCGTTATATTTCACGAGATTTTTAGAGGTGAAGATTTCGTGCTAGGATAAAAGCTCAAAAGCGAGCATTCTCTTGGAAAACTACGTGTTATCTTCGACGACCTTTTCGATGAAACTTTGAAACTCTCATGCCAACCTTTCTTCCATATTCCTCGCTTACTCCTTACTCCCTTACTCTTACTGCTTACTCTTACTCCCTTACCCTTCTCCAAAAAAAAACAAAAAAAAAAACAAAAAAAAAAAAGTAGAAGAAAAGGAGAAGGAGGAAAAGAAGAAAAATGTGAAGACGCAAAACTTGCAACACTCCTAACTATAAATCGAACCGCAAATTTCTTATATCGATCGTCATTCAAAAGCATCGATATTTTCTCGAGTCACTTCTCTTCTCTCTCTCTCTCTCTCTCTCTCTCTCTCTCTCTTTCTCCCTCTCTCTCACCCTCTCTAACTCTCTCCCTCTCACTCTATTTCTCTAGGCTCAAGAGGGAACCTTTTCTCATCTGATCGCATATTAAACGAACTTGTCACGACAACTTGTCACACCTACTTCGTATATAAATAAGCTCATATATGTGTCCATATATATATATATATATATATATGTATGTATGTATGAATGTATGTATGAATGTACGTATGTATGTATATACACGCATATATGTACGATCGATAGCTCAAATAACGTTTCGCTCTCGGAACAATCTCGTTCGTATTTCTATGCACAGAGAGTTTATTTATATATCGTTCATAAATATCAAATCGAAACGGCAATCGAGTAAATTAATATTTTCCCTTTCCATCCCTATTTCCTCATCCAATAATATAAATCGGTACGGTCCATCTTTCTCTTCCTTTCCTCGCTCTTCTTTTATTTTTTTTTTCTTTTATTTTTCTTGTTTCTTTCATTTTTTATTTCTTTTTTACCCTTCCTCCCCTTTCCTTCTTTCTTTCTTTCCTTTCTTTCCTTTTTTCCTTTTTACAATTTTAATTTCCGTTCTATGCTACGTACACACACACACATATATATATATATGTGTGTACATATATGTACGTAAATAAAAATACGACCAGTCAGAGATACGATTATCTATCTATCGATCGTTTGACGAATTCATTTCTATCTCCATTTGAATAATATTCGTTAATGATTGGTTGCTCGACGTACTCGTTAATATATGTAAACAAAAGGGAAACATTGGATTTACAATCGAGAAAACTTACCTGCAAACTCGGATGACATCCTAACTCAAGCAAAGTTCTAACCACTCCGGCGTGGCCTTTGTTTACCGCGATGTGAAGGGCAGTCTGACGCCTTTTGTTACGAGCATTGAGATCAGCACCAGCACCTGCCAGCAAAGCCATTACTCCTGGTTCGTCACCGAATGCAGCATGATGGACCGCTCTATCACCATCCTTATCCTATTTAATCAAACAGGAAATGTAATATATATATCTAATCGAATTTTACTTTCTTTGTTTTTCTTTTCTTTTCTTTTTTCTTTTTTTTTTGTCTTTTCGATCATTAAATAACGTAACAAAAAAAAAAAAAAAAAAAAAAAAAAAAAAAAAAATATATATATATATATATATATATATATATATATATATATATACATATATATATACCTCGATTTCAACATCGGCTTTGTAACGGAGGAGAATTTTAATAACTTCCAAATGACCATTTTGACTCGCAGCTTGCAAAGCTGTATGACCAGAAAATACACCATTAACGTCGGCCTCGGGTCTCTTTAAACATTCTTCGCATTTGCATGCGTCACCGTTCGCCGCAGTTTTTACAAGCTCTTCGTTAACGTCACCCGAAACATGAGTTTCAAATAGTTTCTTCAATAGTTCTGTTAAAAAACGTTCTGTTAAAAAACAAAAATCATTATTTTTCTCTTTTTTTTTTTTGCAATCTCAGTCAACATTGAGACGCAATTGAATATTATTAAATGGAAGTACGAACCTCCGCTACTGTTTCCTGGAACGCTACCATCGCTACTAGCAACTTTTGTTACCGCTTGTGGATTATACGTCCACGATGTACTACACACTTCGACCTTCAAATCTCCATCGTGATATATCTGTTGTACTCTTCCTATTTTTCCCAAAGTCTAATAAAAAAGAAAAAGGAAATACGGAGCATGTTATATTTATCAAATATATTTAATCGATGTAAAAAAAAAAAAAAAAACATTCAATTACTGGTGCCATAGCGTCTGCCCATTCTCCATGTCCACGTTGTAACAATTTAATCTTTTCCAAATCGTTACAAATTTGTACCAAATCACCAACAGCAAAGGTTTGATTGTCCGAACTGGAACTTGTAACAGGAACAGGTATTTGAACTTTTGTAATTACAGCTGGATTGAAAGTCCACCTGTTGCCACTCGGATATGAAACGACAATATCGTGATCTTCGTCAATACCAACAACGGTACCGGTAGTACCAAGACATTCGAACATTCCATCGGTCCAACCACCATGACCGTGTTGCAATGATTGTACTATTTCTAATTCCAAGTCGACATTAACCTTTGTCAAAAATAAATATCATTTAAAATTCAAAAGAAAAAACAGAAGGAGGAGAATATAAAAGGAATAACAATAATTGAAAATTAATATGCTTTAAAAATTATATATATACATATATATACCTGATCTCCAATCTGTAAACCATGTGGTCCAGTCCTACCTGGACCTTGTTCACCTAACAATGGTAAATGATCCCTATAAACTGTTTGTCCTTTTGCATCGCTGACAACCTTTAAATCGGCCTAGAGTTAAAAATAAAAAAACAAAATCAATATGAATAAATAAGAAGAGAATATGAATAAATAAATATTCATTATAGTATAAAAATTAAAATTCATTATCATAATGTAATGTATAAAAACTAACCATTCCTTCAAATCCAACGCGATACAAATTTTTTGCGCCATTATCCCAAATAACGTAAGCCGCTGAACGAGGACTAGCTGATGACCAATCCTGTACTTCATTAACTTTTCCTCTGCGTCCATTTCCACCATCTTGATCTTCCCATTGCCAATCAACACCCCTAACAACTCTTGCACCAGGAAATATACCTCTAATGGCTATCTGTAAATTAAAAAAAAATAATAATATTGTATTAATATATTCCATTTATTATATATCCTTTTTATTAATGTTTCTATTACATACTTTTTTAGTTTTACGTCTTGGTTCTAATAAAACACGTTCACTTCCAGGAGTAGCAATGCGATAAAATTTATGCCTTAAATGATGTTTATCTCCGTGATAACAAATAGAGCACAGGTCATAATTTCCACATTCTGCACATTTCCATCGAATACCAAAGATTGGTTGCTGTCTACATGTGTCACACATAGTTCCTTCGTGCTTGACACCTGTTGGTGCTGAGTCCAATATACGTAAATCAAATGCACCAGAACAACGATAATTTGCTGCAGTACCATTATCCCATACCACAACAACTTCTTCTGGTGATTCAAAATTTCTTACTGTTCCTACATGCCCTTCTCCTCCATCCTATTAAACAATAATACACTGTTAACATAACTTAACCTTGATTTATTACTTACTTAATTCTTTGCTTAATTTATTAATAATATTAAAACAATTTATGAATAATAAAATAAAATACGATTTATATTCATGATTACTCGTATTAAATTAAATTATTAACATAATCAAGCATGTGAAGAAGAGAATTGTTGATTGTTCGATAACCTTAAAAGTTTGTTAAAAATATTTTTAAATTTGAATATAAATTAATGAAAAAAAAATTATCAGCTAAAATAAATAAATAACACAAAGATGTTATAGAATACTGGCAACGTTAAATTAATAATGAAAGACTATGAACAATTTGAAAAATACATATTTATAATAAGTAACCTATGTTCCAACCTGTTTACCCCATTTCCATTCGGGTCCACGAATAACTCGAGCGCCGACACCCTCCATCATAAACCGCGATGTACGAGTACCGGTACTCGCACTAGTCTCCATGCCTCGATATTTAAGAAAATTTCACCGATACCGCGAAAATTACCGAAACACGAGACCGCTTTCACGTACGAACACTGAAAAATACCGCCATCTTAAACTAATGTCAAAACATATCGTACCAACTTTCATCCAATAGAGTCATTAGTTTGGTCGACGGCAGCGCCATCAATAGCGATAAATCGAAAAATGGGAACTAATTTTTGTTTATATTTCTAAATTAATAATATAAAACAACGAAGAATTTCTAACGCAGATCATAGGTATATGTTATTAATAATATATTTCATCGGCAACTAGGTTCTTGGCAACTTGAGAGCTATTCAGTTCTAAACTAAAAACTTACATTGTTTTTAGTTTAGAAAATTGGTTTGTATTACAATCAATTATTTTAAATACATCTTAAAGAGACACATAAATTCTGTAAGATATAATTTTTCACTACTTCCATATATATATATATACTAACACCATAAATTATATTACATCATCAATTTTTTTTCTTACAAATACTGTATATAATCTTCTTTTATTATATCAACTTATTATGTATTCATAGTCCACTTTATATTTATGATTAAATTAGAATACATTCCGACATATAGGGCATGTAGATTTTTGACTTGTACTGAACCATTTGTACTAGAATAAAAAAAATATACATATATACATATATATATATATAACATAGTACGTAATATAATATTTCAATAATGAATAATATATAAAATTCTTACCAAGCATGGTGTGTGGAATTTCTTCCGACAAGTATGACAAGACAATTTTGGTATTTGATAAGTGCTTATATGAAAGATACTGAAACATATATAACACTCCTCGACACCTGCAAATTTTTTGTCCAAGTTCTTTTTCCATGATATTAATCCATCCCAAATTGATCCATTCTGTATCAAAAACAATTGTATAACAATTAAACACCATAGACATTTTAATATTCATACACATATATATAATAATAATTCTTACTTGGTGAGTAAGAAATATTGACAGATGCATATGACAATTTCTCCAATTGGCGGTACCTCCTGCATGTTGTCCTGGTTCTACAGTCACTGGACCCAATGGATGATTTGGTGGTAAAACAATACTCAGTTCTAATTCTGTATCATCCATTTGATACAATGCTACTACCTCTCTAGCTGTTGGATGAACTTTTACCTATGATATTAATAACAAAAAAAAATAAAATAAAAAGAAATGAATACTCTCAATTTATTAAATAAGTCACATAAGTTTGATGTAGTACACATTTTCTATTTTTTTACCTGCATGTTTTCAACATTGACTAGCCTATTATTAAGAAGTTCTTCTTGACATAACATAGGACTAACATAATGCATCGTTATTCTATCCACTGCAGCGCTAACTTTGCTATCAGCAGTACTCCACCACTGTCTCACTAATACAGGCAAATGCCTCAAAGTATTTGTATATAACCAACATACTATATGATCTAATCTCCATTCAGTCCAACTTTCTAAAAATAAATTATTCGAATTAACAATAAAATAATTAACAATAAGTTATAGATAGACATACCTCCAAAATTCAAAGATGGTACTGTAGAAAACATTTCTACTAATTTGGGTGCTTTATTTTTGTTATCCTGTAGCACTTCCACTGGCATTAATCGAAATATATTATTCAATAAAGATGGAAAGAGATCTTTCCTGAAGGCATTAATAAACATATTTTTAATTAAATTTTTTTCTTACATAGATTTTTAAAATCCACATGTAAACATTATTGTCTCATTTTTAAAAATAAAACTTACTTTAATATTTCAGCATATTGATATCGTAAATCACCATGCGTATTTGCACACATATCCAAAACAATTGACCAAAGCAATAAGTAACCCAAAGTATATGTGTAAGAGTCTGTATAAGGTTGTATTGTACAACTAATAGTATCACATAATCTGAATGGGAATAAAATAAATCCAAAACAATAAATAATTATATTGTAAATAAATAATAAAAATATATTTATATAATGCTTTTTTTAATACGAACTTGAAATCTATAAGCATCGTGTTCACTATATACTGTATATTCAAAAGAGCTTCTTCAAAATTTCTAATACTTAAAACAAGTGGATGAAAGCATTCTGTTTCCATGGACGTTTTATCTTGTTCTACAAGCTCAGATATAACATGTTTTAAACAATGATATACACCCAATTGAATAGACGGCGCTGGAGACTGAAGAAGTTTCAGACATAATTTTATTGTTTCATCTAAATTATTACTGTCAGTAGGCACGTTCTCACTTTTGAAAAGCACTTTAGCATAAAGTAAACTTATCGTTTTGCCCAAATAATCTAAAGCAATAATTGGCTTTAAAATTCCCATTTTTTCAATGCATGACTCTGAAAATATTTGATTAAATTTTAATTGTAAAAAATATTAATATCATGAATTTTATATCATTTCGTAAGAAAAAAAAATTTACCAGCATGGAGCTTCCAAGTTTGTAAAATACCTCTGTGTATGTCATTAGCAAAGACAGCTTTCCATTCATCTAAAATAGCAGGTGGTAATTCACTCAATGGTTCTACATTGTGTTTATGCATCAAACTTTGAAATTCATAAAAAAGCTGACTAACAGCTACTGTTAATGCTGTCACCTGTATAAATAAATATATGTATATATGTGTATGTGTGTTTATTACTATGATTTTAATATTGTAATATTGAAAAGAGTATGTACTAGATACTCTTTCTTCTTTTTTTTTTTTTTACTTACCTTAAGATCATTGAAGTTATCTTTAGATTTATTTACAGAAACTTGCCAGGATGCTAAAGATATCAGAATAAAATCCCAATTTTTACAGGATAAATTTGTAGGTATTCTTATAATAAGTTCGGTAAGAAATCTTATAATTTCTAAAATTAAAGCTACATTTTCCCACGATTCATCGCTAATATTGCTATAAAAAAAAAAAAAAAGAAAAAATAGAACTCATTATTTAAAAGTGCTTGAAATAGAATTTTTACAAAAGTATAATTATTATAAACTCGAATAAATAACAATTATAATATGAAATATAAATTAAATATACAAACCAATCAAAAAGTAAGAAGTTAGAATTTTGCTGTTGATTTGATGCAATCCTTTCTAATATATTGACATGTATTGAAGTATTTGCTTGAGTTGAAAGTATATTTCTTCCTACAATTAATGCACTTAAAAGATCATCTGTTGATACTTGAATATTTTCTGGATCTAAGTATTGAGATATAATCTGAAATACAGTATTAAAAAAAAAAAAAAAAAGAAAGAAAAAAATAAAAAAAATTTTTAAATATAATATTAACTTAGTATGTATGAGAAATATATATTTAAGAAAATCAAAAAAGTTTATACCTGCACTGCTTGTAAATATGCTTCTTTGTCGCATCCATCACTTTCAGGAAGAATACTATTGCTTTTACATATTTTACAATATTCTGCAAGATCTTCTTTTGCACATAATTCCGTAAAATAGACATTTATGATGTAAGGTAAAATACTTCCATATTCAGACTTATATCTGAAAGAAGAACATATTATTTATAACTTGAAATATCTTAAAAAAAAAAAAAAAAAAAAAAAAAAAAATAATAATAATAATAATACCTACTTTTGAATATAATGAAGAATTTCCTCGTGTTCCTTTTTAGTTATATGTTTCTGCAAATTTTTCAAATTATTTTTTATAGATGTCAAAAGTTTTTCCACATTTTTGTAACATTTGGCCTATAAAAAGAAAAAATATTAATTCTTTAAATGTTAAAAAATTACATATTATAATTGTATAACATATAATGTAAAATGTACTTACAGATTTATAGTAATTCACATAAATATGTCCCAAAGTAACAGAATGTATAATATTTACTAATATCTCTGTAAATCCGGGTATCAAAATCTGATTTTCAATATCATTTTCATCCACATTTTCATCAACATTTTCATCAACATTTTCATCCACATTTTCATCCACATTTTCTTGTTCGTATCTTAAATAAAGATTACTTAATAATTTTGTTACAAATAAAGCCCACATAAGGCAATTCTCTGTATTATCTATTAAAACATTATCAGTTAAATTGATGATTGCAGTATGGTGGTATGCACGTATCTTTTGTTGAGGTTTTGATACATATAAATGTCCAGTTATTACTTCTGCATAAATTACAATTTCAGTAACTTCAGTCATCCATTTACTTATATTTGATTCTGTTAAAAATGTCGAAAGAACTTCTTTTGCATATTCCATTTTCATATCATCAGTATTTACATATAGTTCATTATTAATTATTACTTCAAGAAAATCAGTTGCTATGTCTACTAGCAAATCTTTTACATCAGCTTCGTATCTGTAAAATATAAAATGATATGAATAAAATAAATGAAAAAAAAACCTATCGTTCGTTTAAAATATATAAACTCACGTATTGCATATTTCATTCCAAGTAATAGCTGCAATTTGCTTAGTGAACGAAGTAAATTCAGAATGTGCAAGTCTTCGTCTACACTCAGAAAGACCTTTTTTCCAAACATTTTGCATGTCATTGATAGAAATGGAATCATAATTGTTCGAATATTCTTGCATACACAGAACAAAAAGTGCTTTTAATAGTTGTACGGCACCAGATATTGGTTTCTTATAAGTCCATACAAGTGGTACAAGTTGTAAAATTAATTTTGCAAGTTCTACCAAGGAGGCTTCATTTTTCTGATTTATTGAGTCACATAGGATTGTAATAATTTGATTAGCTTTATCTTCGTTTATTAATGGATCTAAAAACAAATCAATATTATATAAGCAATATATCAATACAAATATAAATAAAAATACATTGATAAATATTAAAAATATTCCATACCACCATCCTCAGATAAATCAAAAGCCAATAGAATCAATTTCTTATTTCTTTCTAAATTGGTATAAGTACCAGAAACCACTTCTTTAACTACATCTATAAGTAAACTAGTTACTTTAGATTGCGAACACCATTTTTTTATTACAGCGTCATTTCTATTATTTTTGGATAAACCACATTCGATGATACTTCTAACTATAGTGACATTC